AAAAAAAGGAACTCCATTTTATGTAATCGAATATAGAGTAAGACAACGGTTATGTCCATTCGAACGTATTGCCATCGTTGTGTTTCAGCATTAAGAATAACTGGATTGAGATCGACTCCAAACGAAACCCGATGAATCAATATCGAATTATAGTGTTTGCAAGCACATACAAATTAGACTGATAGGCGAAGCTTTGATGGCGAACCAAAATGGCCAAATTTGACTAAAATCTAACGCCAGTTAGTGGCGCGAATAAACTTAGTCCTTAAAAACTCCTTAGAGAGACCATATTTTTTCTTCAAACCAGCTTTAACTACATACTGGTCTCCTTTATTTTTTTTTTTTGAATGATTGTACCTAATGTTACAAAATGTACTTAATTTACTAAGTTAGTTCCGTTGAAATCGGGGGCTACAGAGTACGGAATTCAAACACAGAAGTAGCATATGATTTTGCACTCATTAGATATTGCAAACTAACCGAATAAAAAAATAATTAAATGAAAAACTCTAATTAGATCAAGTGAAGCAGAACTGCAGTATGTGCCTGTGCTATTAATACAAAAAATAAAGTCTACAAGTGCGTACATGTTAGAGCCAATAATGTGCAAGCAAAAAGCTTGAAACTATTAGTGCTTTTAAAGTTACTTCGCTGTAAAGAAACGACACTTTATGACCTCGAATTTAACTTAGACGATACGCGTTAAAGCAGATCCATGATAATTAAAATAATCACATTAAAATAATGGAAACTAGTTATCAATACGTAATAGTATTTGACCTAGAGAGAAACGGAAATCTACTGCCACGCTCTCATTATGAAATTACATGATATATCTTCCAGCACAAACGGCACGAACGAGAATGACATGGCGAAAATGGCACATGATCGTGCATAAACATTTACTCAAGCATAGAACAACTGCCAAGTGGTTACCCAAACTAGGTGCTTTTGGGAAAAACACGTTTGTAGATGACAGAACGCAATGACAGTCAACTCACAGTAGCGTGTTCTACGATTATTCGTATGACTGTGCCAGCAACAGTGATCCCTTGATTGGATCATACACTTACGGTAGCCTTTTGTTCGCGTCGATGTAAATTGTCCTGCCTAGGAACAATGATGCCTAGCACATCTGGCGGCCTTCTTGTTGACGCGTGCAAGCTGGTTAGCCCGTCTGTCTCTTTTGTCAATTCCTCTTCTAAGACCTGTATCCTGGCGGCGAGCCAGTCAGCCGGCTGGCCGCTAGTTCATACGCTCTCTGACCACATGGAGAGCTAATCCAATTCTCAGGAGATAGAAACGCGTCGGTTCTACCACACGATCGCGACTAGTAGCAACAGCGGCAAAACCGGCGTCCTCACTAGACTATCCAAGTAAACTCTATATTGGGGGTTCGGAACCCCATGCATAGCTGTAATGCCAGTAAAGCTTGCTCCTATCTTTCTCCCTTAAACTACGTTTTCCTCCTTCAGAGGGTCGACCCGTAACAAGTTATTTGTGCTGCTGTTATGATGATCGTAGTTATAGTATGCATGTGTTCATCTGTGACTCGCGACCTTTAGAGGATATTTGAACATGCGCGCGTTCGTTTAGATGCTAGTTCAGTTGTTGCCGTTGTCATTGTTGTTGTTGCTATTGTTGACTGCTGCTATATACTAAGCTGATGGCGCTTCTCGGTGTACTTCAAGTGGCAAATTTTCATTATCCAAACCGCATTAGGTATAAGCAATCTGATCGAGCACGCATAGCACGCTCGGCTTGCACCCCTGGACAACAAAGCCTGTTCCACCATAGCTACCCCTATAATGCTAGAGCATAGTACAATGTCTGTCTGAATGATCGCTAGTTTACCTAATTTGGATCTGACTCAGACTCACCCTAGTACTGAGTTTGAGTGGGGGCGGACTGAGAATCAACTGCGAAGAGGCCAACTCCAAGCAGCGATCCAACGCGAGTAAGCATCCAGCGACTAGTCAAGCGAGCAAACCTGCCTGGTTGGGCCTCTCCTTTGGGTCGTTCATAATTTATAAATCTGTGAGCTACACCTGCGGCCACACTAGTAGCGGCGGCAGCTTCTTGGTCCTAGTAATAGCAACGAGCGGGTCAGTCAATAGACACGAGCCCCTAGCTTACGCACTGCTTTTTCTTCTACCGTTCTCGTTCGCTTCCGACGCTCCTCGTTCTGCTTTGGGCTGCTCCACTGCCTTGTCGACGGTCTTCTACGGTGTCAGCTGAGGACGAAAAACTAGTATACGTTCGAACGGAAAACGGGGGTATCATTTCCCACATCGATAGAGACGCCAACGCTGCGTTCAACCTGGCGCGATCCGGCTTAGAGTCAGTTGCCGCCAGCCAACATGCGCTAGAGATACCGAGTTCAATTCTACCACTGATGCTGCCAGCAACAGTTACTGTTTCACTAACGCCAGCGTTCTTTTTTCCATCTGGCAATATTACATACACGTTTTTCTTTCTTCTACTTCTACCTTGTTGTGTCCGTCTCGTTGGCTGATAGCTGACAGTTTCCCCGTCCGTCTCGAAATCTCTTTCACATCGCGGCTACTGCTGATACCCCCCCCCCCCCCCCGCATAAATCGGACAGGTGATGGCGCAGACACGTCTCAAGCGACTCGCCTGCTACTTCCGAGACAGCAAATCCTCCACAAGTAAAACGGCGCAACGAATTGCGCTGCTGGGGCGTCTCCCTTCAAGCGACGGGCGTGTACACGCACTAACGGATAGACGAAGGGACGGACGGACAGACGTTTGTCGCTCTGAATCATCCAAGTGGCCTCTACTAAGGTATAATATATGTTTGCTTAGGTTCTGCTTGATGGATTTTGCTTACGCAGCGTGGCCTCTACTTAAAGTAGCACTTTGTTTATACGTGTCAAATGAATAAATTCAATTTTCCTCGCCTGAGTCAATCGCTTCCACTCGTTCTCGTTCTAGACGAAAATAAATATTTGCACAAGTTGACCAGCTCGTTAATTCTATAATGGCAACAATTGTTTACGTACATATATAACACGACCATCGTTTGTACAATGCCGGTAATTTTTACAGAGATCGCAATTCATCTCGTTTGAATTAAAAAAGTACGACGTAGTAGTTTATGATTAATGATCGAAGTTAATCGTTACCGTCACTAGCAAGCAATAGTGTTCCGATAATCAGTCTACTAAATGAAATAGTCCTAAACTCGTGCGCTGTCACATCGGTCAACGGATCTAAAGGATTCCGTCACTTGTGTGAGCTCTAGTGAAACGTGCGCCAAATTGACGTGTCCATAGAACTTCTATTTGCCTAGACGCCTATTGGCATTAGACGTAGGAGAAGCAGTAGGGGATGGTCAACACAAGTCTGACTGACTCGCAGCTGGACGCACATCGATGGAGGTGCATCAGAAAAGCTGAAGCTCATCGAAAAAACGGGCAAATCTAGCTGATAGGACCAAGGTATGGTGTCAATCAAAGTACGTCCGCGACACGAGTCGCAGCTGAGACGAGTCGTACGGCCTAGATGCAGCACGTATTATATATGTGTAGAAGATACACGCATGGGTAACATCTTGAGTGGATAGGTCCCGCTAACGCCATAGTATGTAGCTTTGTGGCAAGCATATGCTCAACAGATACCTACACTCTTTTGTTGTCTTTCATTTTTTGGAAGCGATTCGTCCCCCGAACTAGTTCGAGAGTGTTTTAACATATGTGGTCAATATGTGTGATGATAGGCCATGAATGAAGACGAATGGACCGGGATTTACGCAAGTGAAACAGCTCATACCGCGGCTGTGAACTCTATTCATGGCACGACGAAGCGCTAGATGATAAAACAAATATATATGATAGCCCTTAGTTTCTGGTAGGGGTGGAAGCAAGTAGCGTGCTGTGAAAAGTTCATTGAGTGACTATACTCACGGTGAGGACTGCGGGTCAGTCATCTGACTATTGTAAACTAGACTACCAGTTCACATTGACGCATTACTCCAAAAGATAATCCTTCCTGTCCGCCACTAAACTCGGTTCAGAACGATGCTAAGGAAAAGCAACTCATGCTCTTCTGTCAATTGTTTCAGGTAAAACCCGTTCTCATAATGTCTTTCAACGACGGTAAAGGATTTAGCATTGGCAAAGCACACGAGAGAAATAAAGATACGATAAATAATCATAAAAGCAATATGTAACTTTTGAAAGCGTTCTGTTTCGATTAGAAAGGCATTCCGTCCATCATTGATTTCACGCATTAAAATGCTCAATCGTCAGAGATTGTTTTCTATACTACGTTCATATGCCAAATCTGCTGCTATTGCGGATCCATTTGCAAAAAGCTTTCAAAATATCTGTTCTGTCAAGTATTTCATAGATCATTCAATTTATTGCCATCTCGCTAGATTTAAAGGATACGCGGACATTTACTGCAGGACGATTCTATTAGAAACTAGGGTAACCACTAATGATAATTATAACTGAGCGTTATCTAGCGTTGAACCTGATCCTGAACGTGATATTACGCGCGCGTTATAACACCAGCGCTGTCGAAGCAAGGTTAGTGGCGAAAATCATGCAAACCTGAAACCAACAAAGCAGTCATGGCGCCAGGTGAACCGTTCAATGGGAATAAGATAGAGGCTGTTGTTGTACTCAGTATCCCCTCCTCTTCCCCGCTGACCCCTGCCCCCGATGATTCGTCGCACATTCGATGCCAATCGGTGGATGGCGAACACCGCTGCAGCAACAATACCAGTCATAGTTTAGAATGATGTTCTAGTGCTTATTCTTTGCAGGCCCATAACCATTTCGTTCAGACTAGTCTGGGTGGCGGACAGAGACGACAGATCTCGTTCTGACCACTCTATCTGTCCATTCTTTTGGTTCATGGATAATGCCAGCAGCCTTAAGGGCAATGATAGCAACGAGAACGTGGTCTGCTTAGAGAAAACGACTCTCCTCACTTACAATAAGGGGTTCTAGGACAAAACAGCAGGTACATACCTGGGCTTGCTCACTGAAGGCCACACTTGTCCGCATAGCTGAGCTGTTCCTCTCGCCTTCGTAGGTCGATTCTCAATGTCCAAATGTGCGAGAAGATCAAATGTTCGTTCGAGTTGATTACACCGAATATGATATCAGACAGTAAAACAACTTGGATATGTTGAGTCTCTGGGCTTGTTAACCTCACTCTTTTTTTATATTGGCACTACTCCTTGTAGTTCCCTTCTTTCGACTTTTTCGACGTTTTTCTCAAGTGGGCATCTAAAGTAATCGATGGTACACAGTTGTCAGAATATCCATAGATTCAGTAACAGTAAAAAGCACAGTTTGCACTGAGGATGATCTATCAGTAGCTCGAATTTCAGCAATTCCGCATGCGCAACTATATATGTCTATATATACATATATATGTATGTGTGTATATTTGTATATGTACTATTCCGCTTGTGTTTTTTGTCGCTTCTTAGTGCGTGTTTCACACTTCACTCACTGGCACAAACACTCATGTAAAACTTATCAGTTGTATTTTAGTCTAAACAGTCGGCTGCCGACCACTTCTGTCGTCATTGATTAACCCCATGGGCCAATTTAAGAGCTCTTAATGTGAGCAGTGGGGACTGACGACGAATCATACTGCGGCAGCAAGCATTCAATGGAATCCATTACACGGGAGTGACCCTCTGGACAATATGACGAAGACATGAATCTGTAATTTCTTGACTTCGCTCTTCGTCAACGGGGAGGAACGAAAGCGTCGATGCTTGGCGCGTTGACTATGCATCGATAGCAGACATTGGCGCGTTATTCTGAACTATTGCTACCGACATCTGCCACGAACTTCACCGCTCCTGCTACTCCAATTTCAGAATAACAGTTAGAAATGGACCGTCAACAAGCCAGATCGTCAATAAACTGTCGTCAATGTCTCCGCATTCGTTCTAGTTTCACCTGCTTTTGAAGACTACTGTCTCTGTAGCTATCACCATGGGCACCTCATGGTGCCCGGCGAGTGGTACCGGCTAATAGGAGAGGGCTTCGGGAAAGGGCTGTCACACCAAAACAGAGCACCATTCAAACAGCAGCAGCACGAACATGAACGGTGATGATATGGTGACATGGTTGCGTATCAAGCTTAAGAATAGATCTACTAATCTTGCAATTTCAACTCTATGTGCATTGTTTTAAAGTTGAAGAACGACGCGAGCTTGAAGTTGGCTAATAGCGTTAACAGAAGCTGCTAATAGCGGCTCCTCCGAGCCGGACTGATGAGCGCAAAAGCCCAAAATCTCGCCAAATTTCAGGTAACTGTGCAAAAAGGAAAACAGTCGAAAACCATAATCAGAATAGAAACCGGTCTCTTGGAGAAAGTTTGGCACTACTTCGTCTTCTGTCGTAAATGCTAGATCGAAGAACGGGAATCACATCATAAAACATGTGATCTATACGACGTGTTACAGAGAGTTAAACAATTGCAAAACGTCTACTTCAATCCTATGGTTTCTATCTGTTGTCCATAACCTGAGGCATAAAAGTGCGGCGATTATGCGTAAGCAGCACGGATATACAGGTGGTTCGTTTAAACAACTGCGCCTATACGCCCAATACTTCCTTCAATGTTCCTTACCGTGTTCGGTACAATACAGCTGGGAGAAACGAACAAAACAGAAGTGGTTAACTAACTACAGAATATCTCTCAGAGAACACTGCACAGGAGGAGTTGTAGGAACAGTGTAGGAACCGTATGTTAAGTAATGGTAGGTGGAGGGAGATAAGAGAGAGGGTACGAGCAGCGGGGGTGTATCTATGTGACAAACAGAGAAGCGAGCTCGCAACTTGAACCTCAACGGTCCAGCTGGATACGTTTCGACCTTGTTGCGTCACCAGCGCGTAACGGTGATTGCTTGTCTAAGTGGAACGTAGTCTGGAAAAGTTCCTGCCCTATAGGGGTGCGGGGAAGGTCATCACGAAGCGGAAATGGCCGAGCAAAGCCGTTCAGGGAGAGAATGGACGACAGACACATGAATATGCGGGTTGAACTGAAATGTATCTTCATTTACATACGCATACTGGTTCGGAAAGTTTATGATATTTACATGAAAACATAATTATCTATAGCTTGCCGTAGAACTGTAAGCATCCTTAGCCCACAGCAGAAACCCTAATTGTTCGGGTGGTTTTTATACAACAACAACAACAACAATGAATAAATGAAACAAATTTCGAAAACAAATTGACTTCTAGAGATGTAAAATATATATTTGGCGAAATGAAGAATAACAGATCGGATGAAGCCAACCTATTGCTTCGTTGTTTACTCATCCGTAGTGTGAATTATATCACATAATATTAGACTTCCTCAAATTTAGAGCATGGTTACTGAGATTCCATTCAAACCTTAAACATTTCAAGTAAGCACATAGAATTAAACGAGAATAGATTAGGTACATTAGTAAGACCATCTTAAAGTTGGAATATTTTGATAAGTTCTTTAGTTCATCTCTTTTATCTAATGTTAATGTCTTATATGACCCACCCGTTCCCGGTTGTCAACTGCCGTTGTGTCTTTCCAGATCCATTGCTTGTTTATATTCTGTCTAGGTCATTTAAGCAGGAGGAAATCATTGTTTGAGACATTATTATTTCTTTTTCCGGCTCATACAACTAAAAGCGCAGACATATATTCATCTACATATATATATATATATATATATATATCAAGAACAGTAGATCAATATATTATTATTGGCAGCGACGTACTTGTTTTTATAAGCGATACAAATGGCTGAGTTCTCTCGGTTACTATTATTTGTATCCACGAACGCTTGTCGTATGATTAATTGACTCTATTCCAACACATTGAAGAAGCATAGAGCGGTTTTAGGTGATATTTTTGTGATACCAGGTCATACTAAAACTGCCTTTCCTTCGATTTGCGAAAAAAAAAAAAAAAAAAAAAGAGATGCAAATTCAAAATTCAGAAAAAATCTTTTCACAGTTAGAGCGTGTTTATCTCGCATTTGTTTAAGTAACAGGAGATACCTAAACCGTCGCGATAAGAAACAGATCTGACTGTACGATACATCTGCAACCGAGGTATCCTCAGACCATCTTTATAAGCCGTGTAATACTAGGCCATATATACTACTTAATGTATAATTATTTACTTACTTGAATATGTCATATGTTTCCGCAGTCGAGTGTTTTTGTTTGCTTTAGATTAAATGATATCAGGCCTGCGACGCAAGATAATTTATTCGTCACAATTGTATAACATAATTATCATATTGAAATGCGTACTCTCTCATATTTGCTCGAGTTCACAAAACAGAGTTGCAAGGAGGAGTAATTTAAGCATATAGTTTGCATTTACATCCCATTGGATTTACAATTTCGAAACTTAGGAAGCTCAGCAATATCTCTTACGGAAAGTGTCGGATGCCATTTTTAGAATCTATGTATTTGCCAAGTTTCCTATCGGATATATATATATATATATATATATATATATCGAAAGAAGACGGCCTTGGTGAACTTCGGGAGAAAAAAAAAGAAGTAGAAATCATCAAGCTGGAATCGACAGTCACTACTGTGCAATTTTGCAATTATGCATGCAGAACAGTGCAGAATAATGCTTGCCGCCATCCTGACCTTTCTTCTTCAAAAACTCACGTGGTAAGTCGCTACGTAATGTCGTAGATGTCACTGGTAATGTCACGATATCCGCGCGTGGTGCTAATCGAACATTCCGTATTCATCGTCCAATCTGAACGAACGATGTTGTCGTTGGTGTAGCTATTGCATTTTAGTTATATACTAATCTTATGGAATCATAGTATCATAGGACCTTTGAAGATGGTATCCAGATGTCCCTGTCATAAACGTGTTGCATACTTAAATCAGCCCTTTATTCCGTAAAGTTACATCAGTGTGTTAACAGAGCCTAAATGAAGACTCCCTAATTGACAACAAACTTTTTTCGAACTGTTAAGGGGATTTTCCGTTTCAAGGAGGACCCAATGCAGATTTCATTAGCAAACCATTTTGAATGGCGTTTATTATCGTAAGGTAGCTATGCGCTAACTTATCTATAGTTGTAATGAACGTGACTAATATATATATATATATAAATAGGGTGGTACGTTCATATTGGAAAAACTTTGGCAGGCTTTTCGTCGTAACGAGTATACGTTCAGTCCTTATACCAGACGAAAGCTGGTTGTTTATAGCACAAAACACTAATTATGACTAGTTAGGCGTATTATACTGCGTGATTTCCAAAATTTGGGTAGAGACCTGCTATTTTTCGATCGTTTCCTGCCTGAAGGACCTTCATTAGGGTTAGAAACTTCTTTTTGCTCAAGGTCGATGGCCTACGTTGCCAGTTTACACGGGTTTAAAGCGGTCGAAAATCCACCAAGATGGCTCCAAATACCATTTTTGGTACGCCTAGGTTTTTGATAAGACAACTGACGACTTCTTTGAAGAGTGGAATCTCAATCACCGATTTCCTCCTCGTGACAAGCTCCAGAGGTTAGTCTTTTTAAAACTTTTACGCCTCTTTCAATTTTTTTTTTAAGATCCTTTTCGAAACTTTGTATTTCTTGAACTTTCAGCCTGTTATCAACCCATAACACTTCTTTTTGCATGTGGTGTATTTGAACGACAATAACGATTTCATGCCTACCAACGACGCATGGTTGCTGAAAAATAATTTTCAAATGAATAATATACATTCACAAATATTACAAACATTTACAAAAAATAGATTAACTACCGGCTTAGGTCCCGAAGAGGAACTGGATGACGATTAAAATTGAATAAACATTACAGTCAATAATAACATCTCCAGCACATACAAAACTTTATCGGAATACCTGTTTTCGTTTAGATACAATTCTATGAATAAACAGGAAAACAATTCTCAATTTAGACGAACCATCCTATCGATATATATTATAGAAGATAAATATATCAGCATACTTTGCCACTATCAAGCTAAACTGTGGAGTGAAGTTTTTATGGGTATTTCGTTTCATACGTTAACCCTAACGACGCATTAATTCCGTGGAATGAGATACGGTGACATGGTATCCTTATATTTATAGTAGAATATTGCCACCTTTTCCTTTTCCATTTTCCTAGCTCTTACGGTTTCGCCCTAAATAACCCTACACTTGGTCTTTCCCTTCGTTTAAGAGTTTGCTGCGGAAGGGCAAACTGTTGTTCGCGCAGCTAAGCGTCGCTGCTTACTTTCTCTGTCCTTCTTTTCCACAATCTCTAATCATCGTCTTGCTATATTTTGAAGTATACAGCTTATTTCAAAAGAAGGGGCTCCGACTTACCTTATATTCTAGTTTCATAGTCTACCGGAATCAATTAATAAGCGTGCCTGGCGATTGATTTAACCCAAACCGCCCGGCTTTACCGACTTAAACACGCAAGCACTTAATGCTAAAATTGTTTCCAATTTCCAATTTTGGGTCGAAACTTCTATTAAACGAACACGTTCATAGCAGCCCTAACTCGTTTGGTAGTTGTAAGGCAAATAGAGAATACGCCTTTCCATATATTTTAATGAAAGACATAATGCGCATGTATACATATGCGCCTCCTACACACTTTTACATCTTAAAGCGTCACCTACTGGCAACAATCAGCTGTGCCCTGATTGCTATAGGCCACTACCTTTTTTCACTGTCTCATGCAAACAGAGTTTGTCATATTGTACACACTGTGCACGCTTATTTACAGTTGTCACTTTAACGGTATATCAACGCGGCCGATTCTCGTGGACGCCTTCATGGTGGTAAACGTTATTTTCAAACACGAAAAACGAGACAAAATTTTCTGCGGTCGGTTTATCACAAACCGAATCACAACTTTTTCTCTAGAGGGAAAGCGTT